CCAGCCAGTGTTTGAATGAGAATGGCCCCCATAGGCTCGTAGATTTGAATGCTTGGTCACCAGGGAGTAGAACTATTTGAAAAGATAACAAGGATTAGGAGGATTAGGAGGCGTGGCCTTGCTGGAGAAAGTTCATCACTATCACTATGGGTGGGCTTTGAGGTTTCAAAGGCCCATACCAGACTCTGTGTGTGTGTGTGTGTGTGTGTGTGTGTGTGTGTGTGTGTGTGTGTGTGTGTGTGTGTGTGCTTGTCTGTCTGTCTGCCTGTCTGTCTGTCTGTGTCACTCCCTCTCTCTCCTCTCTGGTCTGTCTCTTTTTTTTTTTTAATTTAACTCTCTCCTCTTTTGTCAGGTGTTCTATCACAACAGAAAGAGAATACACATATACCTGGGACAGAGTGTGTCACTCAATGACATTCCACTTTATTTCATGGTCCAATTCCTACTTCATGCACTGTTTGTTTCTAGCGCAATACGGAGGTTCCCTCACACTACCAGACTCCCCACAGATCTCTACTTTGGTTTGTCTATATTACTCATCCAACACACACTCATGAAATGTCTGCTATGTGCCAGGCTCTTCTACATCTTGGATCCTTAAGTGAACCCATCATTGTTTCTTCTTGACTGTTGCCTCCCTCCACAAGCTGTCCTCTCCTCTATACACTGAGTCAGGCTGGGCTTTGAAATCTAACACAAGAGCTTCCTTCATGCCTTCACTGGACAAACACTAGCTGAACACTTCCTGGCTGCAGACTCCTGGCTTAGGCAGTAAAGGCACAATGGTCTCATTATCATGTGGTCTGATGGGGACCAAAATGAACCATGTGAAATAGAGAGGAGGCCATGCTTCACATAGCTTTTCCCCTCACAGCACACAAACAAGATTGCTATGAGGATGCTAGCCTCCCCAAGTCCTGTCACCCCATGAATGTATTGAGTCCCCATTTCATCCCTGCCCTACAATCACAGTCTGTTCTAGTATGGAGAGTCTCTGCAACTACCCCAGCCAACAGAGCAGCAATCATCAGGAAGCAAGAATGTAGTTCAGTTAAATGCAACTATGTAGCCGGTGTTGGATCAAACCTCAGGAGTCTGACATCAAGTAGTTTATTTTAGGCATATTTAAGCACAACACAATTTGGTAAAAACTTTCCTGATAACTCAATCCCATGTGCACAATAAAGCAGACATAGATCTCCTAAGGAACAATGTATGCTAAAGGTCAGACATGAGCAGATCAAAACTCGGTAAAGTACATGCGACACTGTCCATAAAGATGGGTTCTATAGCCAGGCAGTGGTGGCGCACGCGTTTAATCCCAGCACTCAGAAGGCAGATCTCAGTCATTTTGAGGCCAGCCTGGTCTTCAACAAGAGTTCCAGGACAGGCTCCAAAGCTACACAGAAACCCTGTCTCGGAAAAAACAAACAAACAAACAAACAAACAAAAACAAAAAACGAATGACTTAAAAAAAAAAGATGGGTTCTATAGATTGCCTAAGGAAAAACAAGCTCACATAAGGGTCTGAGTAGGGAGGAGAATTCAGTGTGTGGTCTCAGCCACATAGCACAAAGGTCACCAGAGTATTAACTACATCTGCTCCCAGTCTTCTGGGCAGGTGACAGTTTATATATATCCCTTCCTTTGAAGGAAGAATCCTATGTGTGTTTAATGATCCAGGTTCCCCAAGTGCTTATCTGTGAGCACAAAGGATAAATAGATAATAAGAGAAAAGATATTCAGGAAGGTGGGAATACATTGAGTGCAGAACATGCCTTTAAGAAACTTTTTAGAATAAAAATGATGTATCTATGGGGGTGCACATGTGTGCATACAACACCACATGTATGTGAAGGCCAGAGAACTACTTCTGGGTGTCTGTTCTCTCTTTTAACTATGTGGGCCCCGGGGCCCTGAAAGGACTCAGAACATCAGATTATGCCTTTACCTCAGAGGCCAACGCTGCCATCAAGTTTGATAGTAGACTATTAACACAGACATAGTATGTAATATTTGGTTGTTTCCCTATATTTTTCCTTTATTAAAGACAGCTGTTTAAATGAATTTTTATATCTATAGCTCTGAAATGAGAGTTGGGGGAGAGAGAGAGAGACTTTACTGTCTAACAATATGTCCAGATTTGGGGCTCAAAAATTAAAGTCGTCACTTCAGAAGCAGAGAACAGGGAATGTCTGATTTTGGCTGGAAAAGTCTTTTACAAGGGAGGTGACCTTTGGACTGGAGGCAGGAGCTGATACAGAGACTAGGAGGAGTACTGTTTACTGGCTTGTTTCTCGTGGCTTTTTTCATTCTTCTTTTACTACCGCCAGCTCTGGAGTAACCCCACCCACAATGGACTGGGCCCTCCCCCACCAATCACTGTTTAGAAAGATGCCCCAGAGGCTAGCCTGCAGCCTGGTCTTAGGGAGATAGTTTCTCCCTTGAGACTCCCTCTTTTAGACTCTGGCTTGGGTCAAGCCAGAACACCTGTCCCTTTTGTCTGGGGGTTTTTTGATACAGGCTCTATGTTGTTCTGGCTGTCCTCAGACTCTGAGAGATCATTCTGCTTCTGCCTCTCAAGTGCTGGGGTTAAAGATGTCCACCACCACACCCAGCCTGTTTCCTGTCCATTTGCCTGTCTTCACTTGGGTAAAACCTGCCTGCTGGGGCTGGAGAGATGACTGAGTAGTTAAGAGTGAGTACTGCTCTTGCCCAGGTCCTGAATCCAGTTCTCAGCAGTAGAAGACAGTGTACGTGTGATTGTTTCTTCAAATTTTTGCTACTCTCTATGCTAGATTCTGAACATTTGTTTGCATTACATTAAAAAAAAAAACTATCCCAGTCCATGAACTTTCTGACTATCTAGTAAGAGGGTAATTGAAAAGTTATGAATGGACTATTGTCTTAAATAAAAAAACAGCTCTAAGTGTTTGCTTAGTAATTTTCATTTCTTCCTTTGGGTGCAGTTCATTCACCTTGTAACTCTTTCAAGTGATTTTTCTCTTTGGGTACAGGTAAGGTGTCACATGACAAGTTGCTTTGGTATGTTCTCTGGCCTCAAACCCTATTTTGATCTATTGTTCTTACCTTTGACCTTGTTCTGAACTCTGCTTAACTATCAATCCTAATTATGAATTTGGCTCTTCTGACAATGGCTCTGGAATTCTCCCCTCTCCCCTTCCTCTTTCCAGCCCAATAAAGACAGAGAACAGGTTTACCAAGTATACTGTAAAGGTTAGCAAATTCCTGCCTGAATCCATGATTCTCTATGTGTCGTATGTAAAGCCTCTCCTCACTAGGAAAGTGAGTGTCCAGACCCTAAGAGTGCAGATGAAAAGTTTTGGCTTAATCCATGGAGGAATTAAGAATGCAGAGCATGGGGAGACGGCCGGGCTGATGTGCTTGCCTCACAAGCACGAGGACCCGAGTTCAATCCCCAGAACCTATAAAAAAAAAAGCCAAATAAATAAAGGTGGCATTTGCTTGTTATCCCAGTGCTGGGAGGCAGAGACAGGAAGATCCCATGACTAGACCACCATGGAGCCTCAGGCCAGTGAGAGACCCAGTTCCCAAACACAAAGGCGGGCTGTGGTGGTGCACACCTTTAATCCCAGCACTCGGGAGGCAGAGGCAGGCAGATCTCTGTGGGTTCGAGACCAGCCTGGTCTACAAGAGCTAGTTCCAGGACAGCCTCCAAAGTCACAGAGAAACCCTGTCTCGAAAAACCAAAAATCAAACAAAACAAAAACAAAAACAAAAAAACCCCACAGGGTAGACAGTACCTAAGGAGAAATAATACCCAATGTTGTCAAGTACTGCACACGCACAAGCAACATGCACCCCCACATGCTGAACATGCTTTCTGAACACACAAAGAATCCAGAAAGAGGGGAGGCTTAGGATACAGCTCAGTCAGTAGAGCATTCATCTTCATATCATGCATGAAACCCTCCCTGGGTTTGCACCCCACAACTGTGTAAATCACGTGTGGTGGCATGTGCGTATAACCCTAGCATCCAGGAGACAGAGGTAAGAGAATCTCAGGTTCAAGGTCATCCTCAGCTGCATAGCAACCAGCCTGGGTTACGTGAGACTCAAGTCTTCATTAAAAAAAAAATTGCAAAAATTTAGGACCTTAACTATGATTGCAGAAATGATCACTTTCTGGATACTAGGTCTAGCACAATTAACCACCTATAAGAAATTTCTACGTCTTTTCTGTTCCTCCCACTCACTTTAGGGATGAGAGCTAAACCCAAGTTCTCATGCTTGCTAGGAAAGTTATCTGTCACTGAGCTACATTCCCAGCCAAGAGAAATTTCTTATTAAGTTCTTCTAAATTATCTAAGTGAAAAATGCCCTTGAGTTTACACATCTTTCTGCCTTGACCTGTTTGTTGGGTATTGGATTACAGGCTTGTGCCAACATACCTGGCTCTGGCACTCACTAGATAGCCCAGGCTTTCAACAATCCTCCTGCCTTACTCTCACAAATTCTGGTATCTCAACCAGGAGCCACCACACACAATTTCTAAAACACACGACTTTTGGGGTGCCTTTCAGTTGCCCCCAGAACAAAGTCCTGATTCTTAGACTTCCCAAGATGTCTCCTGAGGCCCAGGCCCCTGGTTATTATTTGGAGGCATTTTCCATCTTGCAGCCAAAGTCCCAGCAATATATTGTTGCCTGCACTAAACACATACCAGGGGATGTGGAGTTGTGAGAGGAGGGGGCAGTTCGGGTAGGTAGTAAAATAGGATATTTGTAAGTGGTCCCCTATTGATCCAGGCAGTCAATGGGGTGTCTCCAAACATTTTTTCCTATCTAAGATGACACTGTTGTTAAGTGGGCTTTGTGCCACATGACTTAAAGACTCTTCTGCTTTTTTTTTTTTTTTCCCCTAGTTGGTTCTCCAATCTCAGGGGCGGCGCCTGTCCTTCGCTGCCCAGCCCCTGGGTTTGGGTTACAGCCTGGCCGGGCAGGGACTGCTCCTTCACTGCCCCGCAGGCCGGGAGCTGCGGAAACCGTGACCTAACGACCGCCGAGATCGAGCCCAGCTTCCCGCGCGCTCACGTGACCCTTCGATTGTCACGCGGGCGCCGCTCACCTGACCAGGACCTCACGTGGGCTCAGCCTGCTGTGAGGGAGCTCGCCGGTGGGCCATGGCAGGCTGCAGGCTCTGGGTTTCGCTGCTGCTGGCGGCGGCGTTGGCTTGCTTGGCCACGGCGGTGTGGCCCTGGCCCCAGTACATCCAAACCTACCACCGGCGCTACACCCTGTACCCCAACAACTTCCAGTTCCGGTACCATGCCGGCTCAGCCGCGCAGGCGGGCTGCGTCGTCCTTGACGAGGCCTTTCGACGCTACCGTAACCTGCTCTTCGGTTCCGGCTCTTGGCCCCGACCCAACTTCTCAAGTGAGTCACAGCCCGGTTCCTCCCTCCGAAGGAGCCGCCGTCGGTCATCAGCCCCGGCCCGGTTTCTGCCCAGTCCTGCCAGTCACCTCCCACTCCCCTTCTCCCCTTGCTTTTTCTCTAGCCGGCCACCCAGCCTCCCGACCTAGCCCCTTCTCCACTCACCCCATCATTAATCAGACTTCTGGCATCTAAGTTTATCCCGAATCTTTCTCTTGGACTATATTCAGGTTTTCTTTTCTTTTTTTTTTTAATGCCTGCTGTAGGACCACAGTTCAATCAGGCTGTCAAAATATTGACAATATGTTGCCAATAGACAAGTGGTTCCTTGTGAAGCAGCGACCAGGGCTACATAGTGGAACTCAGCGTATGTCTGGCACATAAATTGGTTAGTAAATGTTTACATTGTGAGAGAAACCATAGAACACAATGCAGTGAGCTTCCAGGGACCTAGGCAGAGGCAACTTGACCCAGAAGCTTGCAACCAAATTTAAAGTGTAGGCCTGACACTGTGACAAACCGGCGGATGCGGGAAGTGGCAAGCGATGGAGGAGAGCAGTGCTGGAAAGCATGTCCATGTCGGCCCCGAGTACTGTAGACGCTAAGCAGAGCAAGCTTGCCCCTCCCCAAAGCCTTTTATTCTAGAATGAGCGTCAGGTAACTGTTTCTTCTGCAACCACTATCAGTATTTCATTTGTTCATTGATAATAAACAGGTGACTGTTAGTAAGTCATAGGTCATTATAGTCTGAATCTTCTGAAGTGCCTCCTTTGGCCATTTCTTCCCCAACTGTACCTGTAACATAGTGGGTTTAGGGAGTTTGTTGGTTCTGTTGTGTTAAAGGGCTGTTCGGTGTAAGGTGCGTTCTTTACTTTTGTCATTGCCGTGACTGGAAAAGGCTGTATTTTGGTTCATCGTGGGAGGAAGTAGTCCATCATGAGTGACTGAGCTTGAGGTAACTTGTCACATTGCACAACAGCCAAGGAGCAAAGAGAAGACCACTTCTCCATTTTCCCTTCTTTCCAGTATGTAAGACCATGCCATCCGCAATTAGGGTGGGTCGTTCCTCCTGAGTTAAAACTGTCTCTAGAAGCTCCTTTCCAGACACAGCCTGCAAGGCATCATCGCCGTTCCTGTGAGTGGAGTCTGGTTTCAAGAAAGCTGGCGGAGTATAAAATTCCCAACCTGTAGTCTCAACCCAGGCTGCTTTTGTCACAGAATTGGAAATGCAAAATGCGTCTTGGAAATATAGGAAGGAAACAGCTAATTAAGGTCAGGCAGCTGGGCTAGAAGGAGTAATGATTAGAACTCTCCACTTTAGGGGACTGGGGTGCTGGTCAGTGGGTAGACTGCAGTAGGCCCCGAGTTCAGTACCCTGCATCTCATAAAACCTTGGGAGGTAGAGCCAGGAGGATCAAGAGTTCAAGGTCTTCTTTGGCTACATAATGAATCTGAGGCCGTTTTTTGGGCTAGCAGAAACCCTATCTAAAAACAAGCAAACAAGAACAGCAACAACAAAAAACTCTCCCACTAAAGTGGCCTGATGCTTTATTCTTGTAGAAGACTGGGTTGTCTTTAAGTTTACTGTTTTCAAAGAGGAAGAAAGTTTTATGATGCCGTCTATAGTGGAGTGGTACATACCGAAAAATAATGAAAATATCTTTGGAGGGGAGGTAGGTACTATGATCAACTGTGTTTGGATGAGAGCCAAAAGTATATATTTATCTATTATATATTTCATTTTGAACTCTCGGGGCCTTGGGTTAGTTTTGCCTGTAGCCTTCAACAGGCTGGGCGGCTTTCGTTATTACAACCTAAATCATAATGTTTTCACAATAATCCTGGCTAATTCTTTCTGAGCCTGAACTCAACTTCCTGGTGTATGGCTAGTTTTGGGTCTGGTGTATGAAATCCTTGAGTCTTGTTTCTCTGAGCTATACTTGCTCTCCCTGCCCCCTTGGATATTGTGCTTGAAGACTATATGCTTTGGAAGATCTGGAAGATGAAACAAGGTGTATTCATTACTCATCCTTGGAATGCTTAGGAGCCTAATTTCCAGACTTCTGCTACTTCCTCATCCTATCCATCCCCACAGTCCACTCCCCCTGCTCCCACCCCGCCCCATGTGTTTTGTTTTCTTTGGCACTTGGAGCCATTCAGGGGGTAATAAAACAAAACCAGGCATGAATGTCATTGTACTCTTTGAAGGAGGGCATGGTAGTGGGGAGGACTTGATGTTTAAAATAAAATGGAGCTGAGGCTGCTGCTCAACTGTAGATTACTTAACATGTGCAAATTTCTGGGTCTGACCCTCAATCACATACTGAAGGAGAAAAAAATAGAGATGTCCCTGAGATGCCTTCCTCTACTTCCTTACTACATACTTCCTTCTAGACAAAAGTAAAGTAGGGAGGGAATTGGTGGGTTGGCCAGCTGACCCCGTCCATTGTCTTGGGTACATGGTCTCATGCTTGCACATGTTGCAGCTTTTCTTGATTGTTACAAATTAGAGGTTTTGATTTCCCCTCACCCTCAAGAAAATGTTTAAACTAAAAGCCAGGCATTGTGGCACATAGGAGACAAAGGCAGGCAGGAGTCTGTGTTTCTGTGTTCTAGGCCAGCCTGGTTTGTAGAGTTTGGTCCACGCCAGCCAGGCTACTTAATGAGATCTTGTCTTTGAATGAATGAATGAATGAATGAATGAATGAATGAGTGTTTACCCAGTCTAATTAGGAGCTTTTGCCCACCACTGTGGAGCTATTGACAGCTGGAGCAGCTCAGGAGAATCAGTTGGGTATATAGACAGGAAAGCTGTGTGCATATGTAAAGCATTTTTGTGACCTACTTCAAGGTCACAAAAATCCACTCTCCTAGAGAAACACACTGAATTTTCTTCTCTGTTCCTAGCTGTAGCAAATACCACCCATTCTCAGGAGAGTGTCCTCTCTGTTTTTGTTGTTGTTTTGTTTTTTTTTACAGCTGTCTCAGATTGTGATTAAGTTTCCCCCAGCTGACTGTTGTATGCCACTTGGTTGGGCTTGGGTGTGGCTGGAGTTCCTTTTTTGGTTTTTGGTTTTTTTTTTTTGTTTTTCGAGACAGGGTTTCTCTGTGGCTTTGGAGGCTGTCCTGGAACTCACTTTGTAGACCAGGCTGGCCTTGAACTCTGTCTCCCAAGTGCTGGGATTAAAGGCGTGGGCCACCAACGCCCGGCTGAGTTCCTTTTTTGAACGTGTGTGCTCAAATGTGTGTGTGTGGTGGGGGGTATGGTTGCTCAGCAATCAGAAGCAGCCTGTTAATTTCGCAAAACTTTAGTGACGGAGATGGGGGAGCCTGCTTACCAGAACACAGTGTTACCTTCAAACCTCCCTGTGTTCAAACTTGACTTTACAGTAATTGTGCTAAGAGCACACATTTGTGGCCGTGTTCCTTTAACTGAGACTGCAGGCCTAGATTAGACAGATTCAGAGTTCACGTCCATGTCCCTTTCTATGTTGAAGTCCTCAGGCTGTCTGCCATGTGTGCCATCACATGATAGTGGAAGAAGCCCTTGAAAAATGGTTGTGACATTCTAAGGAACCCACTCCCAGGACTCCTCTGGGTAAGTGCCACACCGTTTGCTGTGGGAAAACTGACTTAGTGAAGGGCAGTGGAAAGAGCAAGTAAATGAGCATTTGTGAATGATGAAACTTAAGAGTTGGTGTGTCAGGGCTGGAGAGATGGCTCAGAGGTTAAGAGCACTGACTGCTCTTCCAGGGGTCCTGAGTTCAATTCCCAGCAACCACATGGTGGCTCACAACCATCTCCAATTTAATTTGTCTGGGGCTCTCTTCTGGCATGTAGGCAGAACACTGTATATGTAATAAATAAGTAAATCTTAAAAAAAAAAAAGAGTTGGTGTGTCTTGTTAGCCAGCTCTGTGGGGTGGTATTAGTCCTATTTTCAGAACGGAGACTTGAAGGCAAAATGATGGCCAGTGTTGCACAGCTTATGACTGTGGTAGGGGATTCCAGTTAGATCTGTCTATCTACCAAGATTTCCTCCTTTCACTGCATTCTTGCTGTACCTATAAAGATCTTTGTCAGGACAATTAGTCATTTGGAAAATTCTTAGCCTCTGGGGAAATTAAGCTCTGATCATAACTTAGTGTTAGTGACTTCAAATAGTCACTTCTAACATCTTACTCTTTTTCATTACCATTCAGGTCATGAATATTTTTTCTCAGCTCCATTTATCATTTTCCCATAAGTATTTCTGGCCACCCTCCTTCCTTCCATCTTTAATTCAATTAGTGCGTATTAGTCAACCATAATTAGTTAATAGTGCTAAGTCTAAAGACTATGTTAATCAAACATCTCTCATCCCTAAATAATTTGCAGTGATGGCCTGGGGCTGCAGCTGCGATGGTGGAATGCTTGCTGATCATGCACAAAGCCTGGGTCTGCTCCCCACATCGTAGAGTGGGTATGGTGGCACATGTAATCCCAGTACTTAGTAGTGGGAGACAGGAGGATCACAAGTTCAAGGTCATCCTCAGCTACAGAGTAAATTTGAGGTCAGCTATGAAAAAATTACAGTCCCTGAAAGTGAGGCTATAAACATATAATAAAATGCATTTTTTCTGTGATATTTGAAGTGCAAATGATTTGAGAATACACAACGAAGGATCCAAGTGTCAGGATGGTGAAGATTGAAAGGTTTTTCTTAGGTGTTGTCTAATTAGATAAGAAAGTAGGAGTTGGTGATGGGAGGTATTCCACCTTGGAGAACAGCTTGTGGAAAGGGCCTCCGGATAAGAAGCCTTTGAGCCTTATTCACTCAAGGTCAGTGCAGTTGATGTACATACCTCTCAGGCAGGTCAACAAGTTCTGAAGTCACGAAGCTGCCTAGGGAGCACTAGGAAGCAGGATTATTAGAGGAAGGCCAGCCAGGGAAGGTTGTCACAGGTGGCATTGGCTAAATTGACTGCATGGGGCCGACAGTGACTGTAAGACTTGGAGGCAGGG